GACCTGGAATCGCCGATCTCAGCTGAACTACAGGTAAAAGGAGCCGTTCACTTGAAAACTACACGAGGTCGAACAGAGTCGGTGAATAGAGGATTTGCGCCGTCACGTGTCCCCATGGTAACGGTACCTCCGCCGCCATGACACCGGACACGATATGTCATTGACTTCAGCAGCATCGGAGAAACATGGGCAGGTTTTGTTGTGTATTTGGTTGTTTTAGACCAGGAGTGTCCAAACTTTTTCCATCAAGGGCCACATATCTAAACACAGATGAAGCAGAGGCCGATCGAGGGCCGCAGACTGATGCTCAATACAGGGAATAATTGAAATATGTGCATGTTTAACACGTTAGAATGAGGCATCAGTCTTTATTCATGCTAAGATCCTTAAAACCAAACACTAAATATGAAATATTCTCTTTATCAAGGTAGATTTTCAAAAAAACTTGCAGTAAGAAAATATTTTTCAATTGATGCAAGGTAATTTGGGCCAATTCACCTGGAAGTTTGAGGGCCGAGAAAAAACTTGTCTGAGGGCCGCATTTGGCCCCTGGGCCATAGTTTGGACATGCCTGTTCTAGACGCTCTGAAAGGGATAAAACGATTCGTTTCTTCACTGTTCCTCTGGAAATGACTCATCAGGATCAAACAAGGGAATTATCAAAAAAAAAAACAGGAATTATGTCTAGAGAACATAAACCGTGAAGAGATTTCCAATGGTGCCATCAGGACACACTCACGTCACTTTCATCAAGGCGTTTGTTATTTAAACTGTTTCATAGTTTATTTAATGAGAGAAGCACATTTACTGAACTAAAAAGAAAACATTTGCAGTGTGAGCGGCAGTAGAAACTGTATGTTCCAGCACATATAAACATGTCACTCGTCGTAGGACCCAGGTTTTCTTTATTGTCTTGTTTATCCATAACTTTGTCTTCTAGAATTAATCACTTTTTGTGAGTGGATCTTTGTAACGTTCACGAGGATCTTTTCATGGTCGATTCTTTCGAGGTTCGGCTCACAGACTCTTCGACTCGTGCGTCGTGTTGATCACAGGAGCCCAGTGTGGGTTCGTTGAATCATAAACTAGTGCGAGTTTTCCTGGATAAATTTATGACATTTTAGTTCAGTAAATGTGCTTCTCTCATTAAATAAACTATGAAACAATTTAAATAGAAAATACCTTGATGAAACTTCATGTGTCTTGATGGGACCATTGGAAATCTCTTCGTGGTTTATTTTTGCTGCTTTAATCCGCGTCTTTTTTTGATAATTCCCTTGTTTGATCCTGATGAGTCATTTCCAGAGGAACAGTGAAGAAACGATTCGTTTCAGAGCGTCTAGAACAACCAAATACACAACAAAACCTGCCCATGTTTCTCCGATGCTGCTGAAGTCAGTGACATAGTGTGTCCGGTGTCATGGCGGCGTAGGTACCGTTGCTATAGGGACATGTGACGTGCAAAGCCTCTATATATTATCGTCATTCTGGATCAGCATTTATTCCTTTCACTACTACATACACTACCGGTTAAAAGTTTAAGAACACCCCTTTTTTTTCCCAGTTTTTTTACCGTTTCCTGTTTGACCAAAATGTATTCTAAACTTTTGACTCATGAAATTGTCCACCTTTGTCAGACAGAACAGCTGAACACACTCATGGGTCATTCTTTTTACAACAGAACTCAAATATTGTTCAAAAAGTTCTTTCTAAGTCTGTTGCAGAAGTTTCCATAAATGTGTGACACTTGTCTGTTGTTTTACTCTTTTGTCTTCAGCTCCATGGGGTTTAAGTCTGGACACTCCAGTTTTTCAAGTTTTACCGTCTTGTCCTTTTTTCCTGAGGTGGTTTTGCCAGAGCTTGGACTTGTTTTTGTTCTTTTATCTTTTTTTTTTAAACCTGGAGGAGGAAGACGGTGTCACACATGCACAACACCTGAAAAAGGACGGTCGCTGTATTTCTCTTCCCTTAAAAAATCCTCTATACGACCTTTAATGTTCAATAATGCTCAAATCCAACTTTATTTTGTGATTTATGAATAACGTCTATGGACTTGGATCGCAAAGGTTTGTGACTTTTAAAGGTTGTATGGAGGATTTTTTGTTGTTGTTTAAAATTGTCAATGAAAGTTCAAAATAGAATTATAGAGAAGCAGCAGCCTTGTAATTATGATGACCAAAAAAAAAAAAAAAAAAAGAAATTCCATCAACTGTGGACGTGGTGGGGGCAGATAAATATCAGCCAATACATAACAAGGCTACCTCTTTATCTATTGGCTGTTAGGTTATCAATGAAACTCTCTATGTTTCTACGTTTCTGACTTGCCGACTTGCTGGGATTGCGTGGTTTATGTTCGCCTCTCATGCACTGATGCCATTTACTCAACCAGCACAGCGGTTCTTGGAGTCTTTTTCAAACTGTAGCTTCCTCTCAGTTTGCACAAATTTTGTTTTAATGGCCGACAAGAATTCATGATCAGTTCACCGCAAAAGAAAGTCTGTGTTTTTGATGTCACTGAAAGAAGAAGACAAGGGGAAACGGAGCGAAGCGCAACATTTAAAAACGGACAAACAGTCGCTGCGTTTCTCTTTCCTTGGAAAATCTTCTATACAACCTTTAAAAGAAAAAAAAGGTTTGTGAAACACTGGAGCAGAGCGTTTACAGTTTTGGAGGTGTTTGAACGAGACAAAACACAAGTCCAGGTCTGTTTTTGAGGAGGGAGCAACATTAGAACACGACTTAAAGCTCACGAGAGTCAGTTTTGCGTAATATATTAATAATATAAGAGCTTTAAACGGCAAATTCCTCTACAGATACTTACAATTAAGGCATTATTTGGAGCATGACATAATAAGGGATAACTATGAAGGACAACCAGAAATGATTAATTTGTTTATATTAGCTCACAAATCTAAACTAAGTAAAAAAAATTGTTTCAAAGATATATATTGGGTTGGAAAATTTAAAAAGGGATGATACACAATACATAAGGAGGAAATGGAATGTGGAAGCTAATATTAGCCTAACAGAGGAAGATTGGGAAGAGATACTCAAAATATTTGGAAAACAACATCATCTTTAATGTGGAGGGAATATGGTTGGAAAAATCTGATGAGATTTTTCAGAGCACCGGCCCAGACAAAATATCGAGACACAAGATGTTGGCGACAGTGCGGGGAAATGGTTGAAGTCATATACATATTTTCTGGACATGTCCTCTAATACAATGTTATTGGAAAGAACTGAAGAACGTTATGGACGTGGTCCTACATATTGACCTCCCTTTTACCTGTGAAGTCTTTTATTTTGGCAAACTGGATGCAAATGTTAAAAACAAAATTAATTTCAAGATATTTAAAATCATGATGCTAGCAGCAAAAAAAGGTATTACAAGGAAATGGTTAAATGCTGAAGCACCGACAAAAGACAATTGGGTTGATGTAATTCATGATATTTATGTTATGGAGAAATTAACTTATGCTCTAAGATTAGAAACAGAGAAATTCGAAAAGATATGGAAGGGTTGGCTGAGTTTTGTTAAAACGATACGTTTAGATTTTATTTGAGGGCTCATTTCCCCAATGTTCAGTTCGCTACCAAATTAAGTTTTTTTTTTTTCCCTTCCTTTCTCTCTTTTCAATATAATAGTAAAAATCTGTATTTTATTTGGAAGATTAAGTTTAAGACAATGTTTGATCCTTAAACAATATTTGCATATGTGTAAGTGTAATAATTGTCTTGGAAAATTAATAAACAAATAATATAAAAAAAATAAAAAAAAAATAAAATAAATAAATAAACAGCAAATTCCAGCTGAGAATTCTGAAGCGTCTCCAGCTCAGTTTAAACTACAGCGACTCTACACAGCGCTGACGTCACGAGAACGTAGTCTGGTCTCTCGATTCTTTACATTCTCCAGAATAATAGACAGACTCAGAAGCGGAGGGGAGAGGAGAGAGGGAGAGGGGGAGGAGGGAGAGGCTGGTCTTTCAGGAAAATTCACCTTTGACTCAAAACACGCGAGTGCACAGAACAGACGAACTCACTGACCTGGTTCAGAACTGCACCGAGATTTGTCTGGGATTAAACCAAGGACTACCACAGGACTGTCAGGGTCTGAGTCCGAGATTTAGGTCCAGTTTAGGGTCATTTCAGACCTGCTTTTGTCCTGGTTCTGTCCTAATTTAGTCTTGGTGCAGTCCTGGTTTGTTTCTGGTTCAGTTCTAGTTTAGTCCTAGTAAAGTCCTACTTCAGTCTTGGTTTAGTCCTGGTTTAGTCCTGGTCTAGTTCTGCTTCACTCCTGTTTTAGTCTTGTTTTAGTCTTGTTTTAGTCCTGCTTCAGTCCCGCTTCAGTCCCGGTTCAGTCCCGTTTCAGTCCTGTTTCAGTCCTGGTCTAGTTCTGCTTCAGTACTGTTTCATTCCTAGTTTGACTCTGGTTCAGTTTTAGTTTAGTCCTGGTTTAGTCCTGGTTTAGTCCTGGTTTAGTCCTGGTTTAGTCCTGGTTTAGGTTTAGTCCAGGTTTAGTCCAGGTTTAGTCCTAAATTTGTCCTGATTAAGCCTTGTTTTGTTTCTGGTTCAGTTCTAGTTTAGTCATTGTAAAGTCCTGGTTCAATACTGGTTTAGTTCTTGTTTAGTCCTGGTCAAGTCCTACTTTAGTCCTGCTTTAGTTTAGTTTGTTTGATTCTGGTTCAGTTCTGCTTCAAGTTCTGCTCAAGGTTTAGTCCTGGTTCAGTCCCGGTTCAGCCATGGTCTAATCCTGGTTCAGTCCTCGTCTAGTCCATCTTTAGACCATACTTCAGTTCTGGTTCAGTTCTGGTTCAGTCCTGGTTCAATCTTGGTTCAATCTTGGTATAATCCTGGTTTAATCCTGGTTTAGATCTGGTCTAGTCCTGTTTCAAGCCTACTTTACCCTTCCTTCTATCTTGGTTCAGTCCTCGTCTAGTTCTAGTCCTGTTTCAGTCCTGTTTCAGTCTTGGTTCAGTCCTGTTTCAGTCTTTCTGGTTCAGTCTGGTTCAGTCCTGGTTCTGGTTTAATCCTGCTTCTGTTCTGGTTCAGTCCTGGTTCCTGGCTTAGTCCTGGTTTAGTCCTGGTTTGATCTCCTGGTTCAGTCTGGTTCAGTCCTCGTCTAGTTCTAGTCCTGTTTCAATCTTGGTTCAGTCCTGTTTCAGTCTTGGTTCAGTCCTGGCTCAGTCCTTCAGTCTTTCTTTAGCCCTGGTCTAGTTCTGGTTCATCCCTGGTTCAGTTTTGGTTTAATTCTGCTTTAGTCCTGGTTTAATCCTGCTTCCGTCTCTGTTCAGTCCTGGTCTAGTCCTAGTCCTGGTTCAGTCATCGTTCAGTCATCGTTTAGTCCTGGTTTAGTCCTGGTTTGGTCCTGGTTTGGTCCTTGTTCAGTCCTGGTCCTGGTTTAGTCCTAGTCCTGGTTCAGTCCTGGTTCAGTCCTGGTTTAGTCCTGGTTTAGTCCTGGTTTAGTCCTGGTTTAGTCCTGGTTTGGTCCTGGTTTGGTCCTGGTTTGGTCCTGGTTTGGTCCTGGTTTGGTCCTTGTTCAGTCCTGCTTCTCCCTTGGTTCAGTCCTAGTTCAGTCCTGGTCCTGGTCCTGGTTCCTGGTCCTGGTTTAGTCCTGGTTTAGTCCTGGTTTTAGTCCTGGACTCACTGCGTGGCCTTGACGATGTCCCAGCTGCCGCTCTCGTCCAGGTGCGATCTCTTCTTGGGCTGCTCCATGGTGCTCTTCTCCGGGGCCGATCCGAACATCATCCCCCCGGAGAAGGCGCTGGACCTGGGGCCGTGGCTGTGGCAGTGAGGCCCGTGGACGTGGAGGCCGCCGTCCCCCAGGACACTCTGAGACGCCACGCGAAAAAACAACACACGAGAGTTAGAACGGAAACAAACATCACAGCGGAACAATCACATCACAAAGGCTCGATCAGTCCTGGTTTAGTCCTGGTTCAGTCCTGGTTCAGTCCTAGTCCTGGTTTAGTCCTGGTCTAGTTCTGCTTCAGAACTGTTTTATTCCTAGTTTGACTCTGGTTCAGTTTTGGTTTAGTCCTGATTTAGTCCCGGTTCAATCCTGTTTTAGTCCCGGTTCAGTCCTGTTTTTAGTCCTGTTTTTAGTCCTGTTTTAGTCCCGGTTCAGTTCTGTTTTAGTCCTGGTTTAGTCCTGGTTTAGTCCTGGTTTAGTCCTGGTTTAGTCCTGGTTCAGTCCTGGTTCAGTCCTGGTTCAGTCCTGGTTAGTCTGTTTTAGTCTGGTTCAGTCTTTGGTTCAGTCCTGTTTAGTCCTGGTTTAGTCCTGGTTTAGTCCTGGTTTAGTCTGTTCAGTCTGGTTCAGTCCTGGTTCAGTCCTGTTTTAGTCCTTTAGTCCTGGTTCAGTCCTGTTTTAGTCCTGGTTCAGTCCTGTTTAGTCCTGGTTTAGTTCTGTTCAGTTTTTAGTCCTGTTTTAGTCCTGGTTCAGTTTTGGTTTAGTCCTGTTTAGTCCTGGTTCAATCCTGTTTTAGTCCTTTCAGTCCTGTTTTTAGTCCTGTTTTTAGTCCTGTTTTAGTCCGGTTCAGTTTGTTTTAGTCCTGGTTCAGTCCTGTTCAGTCTCTGGTTCAGTCCTGTCTGTTCAGTCCTAGTCCTGTTTAGTCAGTGTTTTAGTCCTGTTTTAGTCCTGGTTCAGTCCTGTTTTAGTCTGTTTAGTCTGTTTAGTCCTGTTTTAGTCCTGTTCAGTCCTGTTTTAGTCAGTCCTGGTTCAGTCCTGTTTTAGTCTTGTTTTAGTCCTGTTCAGTCCTGTTTTAGTCTTGTTTTAGTCCTGGTTCAGTCCTGTTTAGTCCTGTTTAGTCCTGGTTCAGTCCTGTTTTAGTCCTTTTTTAGTCCTGTTCAGTCCTGTTTTAGTCCTTGTCCTGTTCAGTCCTGTTTAGTCTTGTTTTAGTCCTGTTTCAGTCCTGTTTTAGTCCTTTAGTCCTGTTTTAGTCCTGGTTTCAGTCCTGTTTAGTCTTGTTTAGTCCTGGTTCAGTCCTGTTTTAGTCCTGGTTCAGTCCTGTTTTAGTCTTGTTTTAGTCCTGGTTCAGTCCTGTTTTAGTCCAGTTTTAGTCCAGTTTTAGTCCTGGTTTTTAGTCCTGTTTAGTCCTGTTTTAGTCCTGGTTTAGTCCTGTTTTAGTCTTGTTTTAGTCCTGGTTCAGTCCTGTTTTAGTCTTGTTTTAGTCCTGGTTCAGTCCTGTTTTAGTCCTGTTTAGTCCTGTTTTAGTCTTGTTTTAGTCCTGGTTCAGTCCTGGTTTAGTCTTGTTTTAGTCCTGGTTCAGTCCTGTTTTAGTCTTGCTTTAGTCCTGGTTCAGTCCTGTTTTAGTCCTGTTTTAGTCCTGTTAGTCCTGTTTTGTCTTGTTTTAGTCCTGGTTCAGTCCTGTTTTAGTCTTTTAGTCTTGTTTTAGTCCTGGTTCAGTCCTGGTTTAGTCTTGTTTTAGTCCTGGTTCAGTCCTGTTTTAGTCTTGTTTTAGTCCTGGTTCAGTCCTGTTTTAGTCTTGTTTTAGTCCTGGTTCAGTCCTGTTTTAGTCTTGTTTTAGTCCTGGTTCAGTCCTGTTTAGTCTTGTTTTAGTCCTGGTTCAGTCTGTTTAGTCCTGTTTTAGTCTTGCTTTAGTCCTGGTTCAGTCCTGTTTTAGTCTTGTTTTAGTCCTGGTTCAGTCCTGTTTTAGTCTTGTTTTAGTCCTGGTTCAGTCCTGGTACCTGCGAGTATCATCAAACGAGACGAAAATAATTTTAAAATATTTTACTTAAAAAACCAGATCCACTTTCTTTTATCAAATGGAGCAGATAATATTTTCTTTAAAGATTAAAAAACCTGTAAATACAGTCGGGGAGACACTGTGAAAGTCAGTTTAGGTAAGTCTCGTTTAATTTAATTTACTCTGTTGTTGTTCTTGTCTTGGGTTTTGTTTTTTGTTACGTAATCTTAAACTTACACAAACTTTATTGATCCACATGGGAAATTATTTGGACACAGCAGCTCACACATCACAATATAAAGTAATAACAAAGAGTAAAAATATAAACGATAATAATAAATTCTATATAAGTAGCAAAAAAGAGCAAGACACAAGTGTCAAATAAAACATAATTATATAAATGTAAATGTACAAGTCAAAATAAAATAGAAAAATAAGCAATAAAAAACTATATTGTAAAAAAAATATGTAAATGTTTGTGCATTCATGGATTACTGCTGAAAAAGATGATAAAAACTAATTTAAACGATCACTTAATAGTTTAATGTTTAGTCGTCTTAAACGTTAAACTTTCAGCTCATTCTCCACATAAACCTTTAGATTAAATGATGTGTCAGAGGAAAAGGAAATCAAACCAACAGATCTGAGTTTCACTTTTGGCCACAACTTTGAATATTTTAACCGCTTTTGAAATCGTTTCATTTACGGTTTCCTGCTCAATCATTTGCATATTTTTATGATTATAACCACCAGTCCTGTCAGTCCTGTTAGTCTTGGTTTAGTCCTGGTTTAGTCTTGGTTTAGTCCTGGTTTAGTCCTGGTTTGGTCCTGGTTTGGTCCTGGTTTAGTCCTGGTTCAGTATATATTATTATATTTTTTTTACATAAACAGACATTATATGTGTAGTAGAGCTGCTCGATTATGGAAAAAATTAATACTGAAATCACAATTTTTCAAATGATTATTTTTTTAGTTACATGATGCATTTATTCAGCAAAAAACTATTTGTTACTGATAATTTACACAAAACTTTCAAATTGAAAATAAATAAAGACTACAAATATGAACCTTAGCGCATTTATAAAATAATTATAAATTATTTATATTATTTTATAATTATAATTTTAGCAATATTTATTTATTTTTTATTATTATTATAACCATCAGTCCTGTTAGTCCTGGTTTAGTTCTGGTTTAGTCCTGGTTTAGACCTGGTTCAGTCCTGGTTTAGTCCTGGTTCAGTCCTGGTTTAGTCCTGGATCAATCCTGGATCAGACCTGGTTTAGTCCTGGTTCAGCCCTGGTTTAGTCCTGGTTTAGTCCTGGTTCAGTCCCGTTTCAGTCATCTTTAGAATTAAACTTTCAGCAGATTCTCCACATAAACCTTAGAAAATATTATCTGCCAAAGGAAAAGAAAATCAAACCTGCAGATCTGAGTTTTTTTTAGTTTAACTTTTGGCCACGTGGAAAACTTTTATTACTTCAATATAATTTATTTTAGCTTCATTTCCTGTTTCCTGATCAATCATTTACATCTTCTTTTTTATTATTATAAGCACCAGGAAGAGACACAGTATTCCAATGAGCTGTTTTACATGTTTTTCTTTAGTTTACGTCACAAAATCCTCTTAAAACCACTTTTTAATTACAATTATTTAGACCTTAACCTGTTTGACCACATATTTATGGATCTGGAGTGGAGTTTAAACATATGGCAAGACTTTATTTACATATTTAGACCACTATTTACCACAAATGTTATATTTAGACAAACTATTTTAGCAGTGTGTTCATATTTAAGGGTTAGCATCAAAATAACAGGATTTAAGTTGATTTTACTTGAATAAAACCACTAAGAGAATTGAATAGACGTGGTTGGTTTCCTGGTTTTGTGGTTGACAGCTGTTTTAGGTGTGTTATTTTGCTTATTTTTACGCATTCTAGTAATTTACGAGTTAATTTGAAGCGTATATTAATTCGGGTTGATTAAAATTATGTAAAAGTAATAAAATAGTGGTAAAATGTGAGCGGTGTTGGTTAAAACTCGGAGCTCCGGAGGTTAGCGGCTAATGCTAAGCTAAAAACAAGCCGGGGGAGAGAGCGGGGGGACGGCGGAGGAGTGAGCCGGGGAAAGGAGCGGGTGTGCGGGGGGAAGAGAGGAAGAAGAACCGCAGAGAGAGCAGGGGAGAGAGCCGCGGAGAAGAGCCGGGGGAGAAGAACTCACGGAGCCGTCAGAAGTCCAGTCCATGGTGGGTTGAAGCTCCGGGAGACGAGTGGGCGTGAAGAGCCGAGGGGAGCCGGAAAGACCCGAGAGGAGCCGGAAACAGCCGAGAGAAGTCCGGAAAAAGCCGAAAGAAGCCGGAAATAGCCGAGGGGAGCCGGAAAGACCCGAGAGGAGCCGGAAACAGCCGAGAGAAGTCGGAAACAGCCGAGAGAAGCCAGAAAAACCCGAAAGAAGCCGGAAATAGCCGAGAGGAGCCGGAAACAACCGAGAGGAGCCGGAAAGAGCCGAACACTTCAGTAAACTCCCGAACACTTTCAAAATAAAAACTAATAATTAATAATAAATTAAAATTGCATGTTTATAAAGTTAGAATATCTTAAATTAAGTGTCTTAGTTGTATCTTAAGTGATATAAATGTTTATATTTAATTTTATATATCGTTACTGTTTAAATTAAAATGTGTAGCGTTCTCATTGCTGAACCTTCTAGTTTTTCATTCATAAATCTGACTTATTTTAGAGCAGGGGTGGGCAATTCTTTTTTCTGTGGTGCCACATGAGAAACAGAAAATGTTGTGGAGGGCCGGGGCAAAATGCTTAACTTAATTCTGTATAATAATTTCTTTATAAACAAAAGCAGAAAATAGCAATGTGTTGTGTTTATGTTATGGCGATGCAATGAAAAAGAGAGGCTGCCTTACAAAAAATGTCATTAAAAAACACCTCTGAAATAAAAGCAATGCAGCTTTAATTCATGAATGAGGTAAAATATAAAATGTGTTTATTTTGTAATTCCAAATTATTATTATTGGGTGACTAGATGTCCCTTTTTACCCGGGACAGTCCCACTTTTTAGTCCTGTGTCCCCTGTCCCAGCAGATTTATACAAAACCATTGATTTGTCCTAGTTTATACAAGAAATGTCCCCGTTGTGCCTATTTCTGACTAATTTGATCCCCACCAAGAGTAAAAAGGGGGATATATTGTCATTTGAGTCGCTAAAATATAGAAACCATGCTTGAAAATAACCATAAGACAATTTTTTTTTTTTAAATGCAACAACAATCCCACAGATTATGACTGACCCACCAGTGAGTTGAGAATGGACAATGTCACATGCTCTTTTCACAATTTTATTTATACCAACCTTCCCAACCTGGGTGTATCACAGCTTTTAATTCTGAAAATCTGGTCACCCTAGTCCACTATAAACTATAAACTACTAACATTATTTGATTTACTTTCTACTTATTATTATTTCACGTATGTTCCGGTGATAAGCAGGAGGTGGCGCCAGAGCCCAGTCCATACACTTCCTGTTGTTCAAAAGAGCTGGAAAACGAATCTCAGATCATCTAAGACTGTGCTCAAATATATTATAAATATTATTATAACATAATATAAATTAATCATAATTGTTAATCATAGTAAAGTACAAGTAAATGTTGTAAGTGTTACTCGAGTAAAAACATGTAAGGATATTTTTGTTTTCGTTTATGGTCGTACAAACCAATAATAATGACAAAGAAGACACAAAATGTATCGTTTATGATTGTATCAAAATAAAAGGTCATGTTAAAGAAAATATGAATGTTAATTTGTGCTGTTTCCTGGTTTGCCTTCCCCACTGTGAGTTATTTAATTGAAGGTTTTGACTTTATGATCCTCGAAGGGAAATGTGTCTCTGTGTTTGACTCGTCCTCCAGTGTCTCTGGGTCAAACCTGTCAGGGGCACTGGGACCATCTCCAGGTCTGGAGCTGGTCTTGGTCAGGACTAGGACCGAGTATCATTAAGAAGCACCTCGATATATCAGACATGATACTATACATACTGTATCTGGACACAGAGCTTTTGATTCAATATGATATATTTCAGATCAGTTCAGATTCAGTTCAATAAAAATAATGGCTAAATGATTTTAGAAGATATTAAAAGTCAAAGTACAAAGTTCATATGAAACACAAACAGTTTAATCATCAAAACTGTGAAAATGTCAAATGTGTCGCACAAACGAGTTTCCTTCCTCTGAACAAACAACAAAACTGTAACAAAATAATTTAGTAAAATAAACCAAAAAATGCTCTTGGTATCGATACAACAGACCACGATATCGATACTGTATCATCAGATTAAACAATACCATATATCGATATTTTGATATTTTTGCACAGCCCTAGTCATGACTATTCACCTGGAAGATTTGATCAATATCAGACATGTCAAACTCAGGCCTGGGGGCTAAATTTGGCCCATGATATAATTATATTTGGCCCGTGAGATCAAATCAAATCTGTATCAGAGCCGCCGCACACAGATCGACTACAGAGACATGATTTATTTAAAATGTTGTTATTATTTTATATTCTGTTTGTTCTGGATTCAATGTTTAAGCAAAACTTTTATTAAACATTTATTTTAATAAGAAAAAGTTTAACTTTACAGATCTCAAACGAAGAGAAAACATGCAGATGTTGTTGAAAATTTTCAATAAATATTTAGTTTGTCCCACGATTTAGGCGACGTTTACATGATGAGGGTCTGAACAGAAAACACAAAAGTGGCGTCGCATCTTCACTTTTTATTTCGCTTTTAGACAAGAGTTTTCAGGAGGAAATCTGCTGCACACGGTGACGCAAAAGTGTGTGGAAATGGATTGTGTTTGCATGCCAGTTTTGTGTGTCCTGTATGTGACGTAAACTCATACACGACCTGAGCCCATGTGACCAGAGTTTTGCGTCTTGGGCAGCGTAGACGGAAACACTAGGGCGGAGCGTGTTCAACTTTTCCACTCTGGAGGAGGTTTCAGATTTTTGCGTGTTTTTAAGCCCCAAAAACGCCGTCACCGTCTAAAAAAAAGACACTTCCCAGAAAATATTTTGTCATTTTTATCCACAAACATTCTCGTGTAAACAAACCCTTAATCCCAGTTTTTAATTTTGTCCCTCTGTGAATTTGAGTTTGACTCCCCTGATCTAAAGTGTCCAGAGGAAACCCACCCACACTGGAAAAAACAATATCTACTTAAGTTAAAATGATCTGAATTAAGAACGTTTTCCTTTATTTAAGTCGATTCAACTTGACAAACAAAATGATCCACCAATTGAATAAGTGTGTTTTTCTTAATTCGAGCCATATTGGATTTTGTTTCTTATTTTAAGTGCAAAAAGTTGTTGTTTTTTTCCTCATTTTAAATTTAGTTTTCATATTTTAACTACAAAAAGTCTTGTTCATTTTACTTGTCAAGTGAAATTTACTCAAATCATGATCAAACCTTCTTAATTCAAATCATCTGAATTTGTCTAGATTAATTTTTTTGCAGTGCAGACACAGGCAGAACATGCAAACAACACACAAAGAAAATACATTTGACATTTGTGGATCATAAATTAAGAGATTTCTTTAAAAACAGTGAAGTTACACATGGTCCATTTCTACATCTTGATCACAAACTCGTCCGTGAACCGACGTGGGTTTTGTTTCGGTCCCTGGCCGGCGCTTGACCCCAGTCCCGCCGGGGTCAGAGTTCACGATCAGGTCTGAGTGTTTTGACCCCTCCCCGCTCCCCGTACGTCTCCGTTAGCGCCCGAGCGCCGCCGTAAATCAAACCCTCCCGCCCGTCGCCCCGATGAGGAAACAAAGAGCTCCGAGGGCAAAGGTCACGGCTTGTTTGGGGTGCGTCCAAATTCAAGGACGACGGCGGCTCCTCGATGGACCCGCCGCGCCATAAATCCACCGGAACGACTCAGGGGTAAAAGGAAGAGCACGGAACGGCGCGGTTCAAAATAATAAAAGACATTTCGCCGTTTTAAAGGATGGACAGTGTGGGTCTGTGTGCCGTTTGTTCTTTTGGATTTTAATTAAGAACGAAAAAAAATAACATGGAAAAACGGTTTCATTTTTCACTTTTCCGAACCTCTATTTTAGGGCTGGTATCATTATGAAGTTGCCGATACGATACACACCTCGATACACAGGCCACGATACGATACACACCTCGATACACAGATACCACGATACGATACATACATACACATACATACGATACACACGATACACAGATACGAGATACTACGATACATACGATACAGATACAATACAATATTGTATATTTCAAAACGATTCAATACAGTTCAACAAAATTAAAGACTAAATCATGTCTGTGATACTAAAAGTCTTTGTTAAATCACTTCTTCTTGTGCAAAGTTCATATGAAACACAAACATTTTAATCATCAAAACAGTGAAAATGTCAAATGTGTCGCATAAAAAAGTTTCCTTCCTCTGAACAAGCAACAAAACTGTAGCTGTAACAAAATAATTTAGTAAAATAAACCAAAAAATACTCTTGGTGATATATCGATACAGCAGCCCACGATATCGATACTGTATCCTCACATTAAGCGATACGATATATCGATATTTCAGTATTTTTGCACACCCCTACTCTATTTCCAATATTTAATTTAAAGTTTATTCCGGCGCTTGTTTTAATTCTGATATTTGATTCTCTCTTGGTTTATTTGAAGTTCTGCTGCTCAGCGTCGTCTGTGAATTCAGTTTTAATCAAGGATCTATAATAAAAAAAACTTTGATTTATTGTTTTTAGGCTGTAAATTCTGGAGCAGTTTTCACATGTGGTGAGTGAAGCAGATCAGAGTCGTTGTTTAAAAAGAGTTTGAGGAAATGTTTGATATTTTGTGCTGATGTTTGATCATCTTTAAATTGTGGATGTTTCATTGTGTTTTTACGGAAGCCCTGAGAGGCAAGAGAAAAAAAAAAGAAAAAAGAGGCAGGTCATTTGGGCTCTATTTTCTAAGTGTTTTTTTTTTTTTTTCCATCAACTCAAAAAAAAAAAAAAAAAACATTTTCTACACATTTTTTTCGACAGTTTTTTTTTTCTGAAAAAAAAAAAAAATGTCAAAAATTTTTGCTCTGAGTGGTCTGTTTTTTTTTCGTCAGCCACATCAACACAACACAACAGCGGAAAAAAAAAAAAAAAAAAACAAGAAAAAAAAAAATTGTAGAAAAAAAAAAATTCTTTTTAGATTTTTTTTTTTTTTGGTAGAAATTATTTTATTTTTTTTGGAGTT